AATTATCTCTCAATTTATCACTAACATTAATATAAAGGGAGGCGAAGCCTCCTAACTACTTCTCACTCTAGTTATAATTAATAAAATTAGCGTATAGTAATAGACAATAATTATTTCAGCTTTTACGTCAACCGATATAATAGGATATATAATAGGATATTCGAACGATGAAATGTGTTTTGCTGCGCAGTCAATGGTACCATCCGGAGACAGCATTTATTTCATCTTTTATTTTAATAATCGAACAATTATGTAAAACAAATTGTGGTCAATATTATTACCGAAATGAGAAGATAATGCCCACTTACTAGAATTACTTTTTCTGAGTGAGATTGATTAAATAGAGAGCGGTAGTTCCTTCTTCTCGTGCTATATTATCTTGAGCAAAGCGAGATATGACAGTTGCAATTTACTGGCTTGTCAATATAATTTTAGGCTCACGTGTGTAAATGTGCAGAATACCTAATTACTTCGCTATTTAAAAAAAAGATCACCTCAATGGAATCACGAAAGATATGGGATCGGATTTTACTTACACGCACTCGTATGTATGAATAATTAATTTTATCCGACAAGAAAGTCTTTATTGCTGATGAGCAGCCCTTAAAAATTTATACCAAACAAAAAATTTGGAATATGAAGCCGACAGCTTCCTATCTAAACCAATCGTTAGCAAAGAAAAAGCTTATTCAAACTATCACATCTCTCCAGTATCATGTTTCTACTGTATCCGATATCTCATCAGCTGATGCTTCGTAGCTTAAACTTCCTTCATAAAACTCCATCGAATCATCACTAAACAAGCTATCTCTACTTTCACTCCATCCTATACTTTCCTCTTCTTCTCTTGTCTCGAATTCCCCCTCTTCTACATTCATTAACACGTTCTCTGCCCTTCTTTCTAACTGTCTTCCCCCATCCTGCTCCATTTGCAGCAGCATATTCTCTGCCCTGCTTTCTAATTGTATTCCCTCATACCTCTCTTCCACATTCACTAGGACATTCTCCACTCTTCTCTCTAATCCCATTTGCTCCACATTCATTAATACATTCTCTATCTTATTTTCTAATTCCATTTTCCCATAATCCTCTTCCACATTCACCAACACATTCTCTACCCTTCTTTCAGATGGCCTTTCCTCAATGTCAACCAATACACTCTCTACCCTTCTTTCTAATGGCCTTTCCCCAGATCCCTCTTCTATGTTAACCAATACACTCTCTACACTTCTTTCTAATAACCTTCCTTTACCCTCCTCTTCCCTCTCTACTAATACGCTTTCTACCCTCGTCTCTGATTGTCCACCCATCTCATCGTCTTTAACTTCTTTTTTGAATCCTACCGATCCTCCGACATCACAAAATCGCTCAGTTTTTGCTTTTACGCACGCACCACAAGGGGTTGCCCTATCACATCGTCGTTTCATACGGCGACAACGGGAACATGCGCAAGGTGGCTTCTCAATGGCAGGTCGGGTTAACTTCTTAGAGACTTTGGGACGATTCGGTTTTTTACGTCTGACTTTTTTTTGTTTTACAGATGGTAATATTGGACGTATGTAATATTGGATTGGAGGGAATGGAACTGGGAACGTGGGTGCCTGGTGAAGGTGAGAATATTGTGAGTATAGTAAATGGGATACGAGTATTAAAAGGAAAAGGGGGAAGCAAGGTTGTGCATTAAAATAGATAATTACATGGCCATCGTTTTGGTATTGACTCCATCTTCTATAAGCTAGCGTACAGATCGAACTATAATCGTTACGTAAATTAGTTTCATAAACAAAAAACTCAATCCACGACACTTCTCTCGTACTCATACCACACAAACCCCCCGCTTCCTCAATATACTAACTCTTTGTTATGATCCAGTTCAGTCACAACTTCCTTCTTTCCCCAATACACTTCATATCCCAACTTTCCCTCTTTGTAGATGTCGATCAGCACTCGCATTGACACCTTCTCGCATAATTCCATAACATGCCTGCAATTTCTGCCATTAAGATAGCATTCCATACATATGACGTAATCCTCTGAACGGCGAGCTGTACAATAAGTACAAATGAAAAACCGATTGAATATGTCACACTGGCAAAAGTCGCATACAAATGTTGCATCACATTCGGCCTACGTTTGATAGTGAGGGAAAGAGATAAAACAATGTGCGTAAATATTGTGAAGGGTTGGATTATATTATCTTGTGTAAGCATATTGAAAGCAGGTATCACCTTTTTAATCTCTACTGTTCCATTCCAATCCTCATGCCTTATAAATTCGTCTTCACATATCCTCTTAAATAAGTCAAGTACGATCTCATATTCATATTGAAAGTCACGCACTCCGAACGTATGGTCAAACCCCAACTGTCTCCCGCGGTATTTGCACCGATATAATTTCCAGGCAAGGTTAGACCAATATTCTACAGTATGACGGATTACCGTTCGCACACGATATGTTTCTGGGCGACAGACACTAGAATATGGATTAAGAAAGTGGGATAAATCAGATATCAGATACGGAGCGTACTATGCATGATAAATGAACGAATGATAACTGATGAATAATGAATGATAAACGTCAAACATCAGTGATTATCATAATAGAGTTTTCAATGCTTACTGTTGATAATTAGGTATTGCATTTTCTATTGCTTCTTTTGCTGTCTGAGCTATAACTCTATTCCACGACACTTTCACAGAACATTTGCCATTATTAACGACCTACAAATAAAAAAGAAACAAAGGCACAGTTAACCAAACTATCGTACAGTCAAGGATATCTACAACTCATCACAATACTAAACTCAATATTCACAAACGAATCCCTAACACCTGATGACACGAATTAGATGGCACCAATACAAAATCGCCAACGCGTTGTTCTGTCTTGTAGACGGTGAAGTTGGCTTCTATGAGTGCGCTTTCTGGAATAAAATATTTCTTTGTTCAAGAGGTGAAAATGAATACGGAAATTAACAAGTGATTAATATGTGATAACAGAGTTGATAAATATAATTGTGTTGTGACATACTTCCAAATCGATATTTTGTCCGTGTAAAGCAAAGAAATGGGCTACTTTGTCTTTATCACCTCTTCCAACCAGATACCACGTTGCCGATGCTCCTATAACAGAAAAAACGATATTATATTAGTCTCACGGTTACCGTATGATTGCCGATTCTCCGAAATTTGAGCAAATGCTATCATACCCTCTTCAGCATGAACCATGAGATTATGCCCAAATGCAGCGCACATGTCTTTATGGGCCGGTGTTCTGTGTAAAGAAATGAAATGACAGGCGAAAGTCATGAATTGTAAATACAATGTTGTGGACATGTCTATTAGGATTTCATTACAGACTAACGGCAGACGTTATTACCTTGTTCCTTCGACGCCCACGTACATCATCAGATTTTTTGCTCTGAGCTTTGTTGGAATATACGCTAACATCATTAGACATGTTAAAACACAAGTTCATTCGTTGACCTGACGTAAACATTCCTTCGTTGCATTTCCCCTTCCCCCTCATCATAACCACTTTCCTTCTCAATCTCTACTACTCACCCATCATGTCATTTTTGCCATTGTATCGGAAATATTCCGGAAGAATGCAATTGACAAGATTAGACCATTCTTTAGGGCATATTATGTCTTTTCCGTATAATAAACCCCGCAATCGATCCGAGGGATGAGTGTAAAATTTCTGCACATAGTCAAGATATTCGCCCAAGAACATGGCCTGGTCTGTACTTGAGAGTATGTCGCGGGCTTCGATTGCTGGTTGGAAAAAAAGTGAATGTAATCGATGAGCATGACAAGAGCTGCGAAAGTAAGTGTAAAGCTAGGCAGTTCGAAGATATTTGACAATAAAGCAGTCATGGTATATGCTATGTGCGATGAAACAAATGGACCATACACTATATCCCCCACTTTTTTGCCTTGCCCCAGTCAATTCTAAACCAACACAGAACAATTCCCCACTCTTGCACTTTGAAATTCTTACCCATATGAGCGACATTTTCTCTCAACCAGTCTAACGAAAATATATCTTTTCGCCATTCCTTTCTTTTATGCCAATTCTCTACAACCAAAGGTATTCCGTTTATAACACAAGTCTCATGTACTCTACGTACGATTTCCTCGTTTGTCAAAGTAGCTGCGTTGATCCGTGGTACCTGTTCGAAATGACATTGTTCACGGTGTGGTGATTGTGAAGGGGATGCAAAAATAGTAGAAGGAGTGTGGACCGAGGAAAGAGAAGATGGAGGAGCAGATAGAGTTGAGCTGGTATCGTCTATGTCTAAGTCAAGATCAAGGCTGAGATTGGAGAATATGTTTGACATCTATTCAGGGAATGAACATAGTCAGTTCGAAAAAGACAAGAATTAAGTAATGAGCAAGTGTTAAAGCGAAATGAAAACTCCAAAAAAAAAAGAAGAAGAGATAAAGAGCGGGGAAGTATGGTATTATATAAAAAATTAGCGAGAATATGAGAGACAAATATTAATTTGGGAAAGATTATTCGGACTAATAACAAACCTTTATAATAACAGTGTCGGAGTAAATGGTATTAACCAAACTTGGACAAGGGTTTTCTCCAATAAAGTCAATCCCGATACAGTTAGTTACCAGCTGAGACGATAAACAACGAGCGCAGCTGTAAATTCAAGTGTGAGAGAATTAAAAATCGGAATTGTGGGTAGAAAGTTATTAGAACAAGGGGGATATATACTACATTGAACGATGGTGAAACTAAATTTTTATGTAAGGCTGGGATCGTACAAAATTTACCGTGAAACTATGAATTTTTGCATTATGGTTTATTTGGGAATGCAACAATGACAAACTCCAAACATCATGCTGTTGAATGACGCACCACCTTCCATAAAAGTCCCTTTTTTAAATCATCAAACCTAAATTACAGTCTTACTCAAATTGGGACACATTTTTGAATCGGTGGATGATGAATCAACTTTTTTGGCAAAGAAAAAAATATCACCTATTAACAAATCAGGCATACTTAATATAAATTATTGTATAAAAATATAATAAATAACAACGGTTTTGCAAAACAGAAACATTGCCTTTTATAGCATAATCAGATGGTACATCAAAAAGAAGAGGTTATAATGAAGCTTATCAACGTATTAGTATACCAGACAATTACCTACATGACTAGTCAGTTCAAACATATGACGATGCTCTCAAGTGCACAAACCCATAAAGTACGAAACAGGTGAAATCTCAAAAAATGTCAGCCACAACATAACGTAAGAATAACGCCCTAACGAAAAAGGAAGAGAATTGCTGACATGCTTATCAAACCCAATCTCTTTAGATAAACTTTTCGCTAATTACATTTGCCAATAATGATTAGTACTAATGTTCGTCTATTGATTATATTATTATTTACAAATAGAAAAGTAAAGCAATTAGTCACACTAATACTATTAAGTATATGGTTAACTTAAAAGAAACATCTAAACATGGCATATAAATGAATCAAATAGTAGACAATGCAAGATGCGCCAATTGCTTATCTATCATTAACAACACATAAATTCTGCAAAGATTACTTTAATACTGCTCTTGTAAAATATTGATAACTTACAAGTAAATGTGATATTGATATATAAAACTAACTAATTTAAACTGCAAATAAGTGTTTATACAATTTTTGCACAATAATTAAAGCAACATCCGGTTTATTACTATAACTTATTAAACTGGCAAAATTATTTGGTTTATATAAGAGATGAAAGTGTAAACTATACTTGTAACATTGATTAAAATATAACTATTTTGAAATTGTTTAGGTAAGATTTTAATGTAAAATATAGTAATAGGAACCGTCTGATAATATTCTAACAACTTGTGAGATTAGTAAATCTTTGAAACATTTTAATTACAATATATAATTGTAGATGTTCAAAATAGAAGATTTTAGATGTGAGCAGTTTTGTTTTTTGCCAAACCAGTCATGAACTAATATTCAGAAAACAATGAACTAGTGTGGATTTATAAAAGATATTTAGAATAAAAATTTAAACATGTAATAATACGGTAATATTTGTCTTCAACATCTTTATAAGTTTTAAAAATTACAACTTATTATATCTATTTTCAGTCAACTCACATTTTTATGTATTTTTGGGATTACAACATTATTCAATAAGAATAAATTATCATGGAGATATCCATTGAGTCTACCACACTGCAATAAAAACAGTGTGCTCTCTCTGCTTGGTCAGGTGGCGCGCCCAGCCGATTGGAATAATAATTGAAACCGCTATCAAACTTCTCTAATCATTTTTCCTCTATTTAATGTTTTTCCCCCATGTTATTCAGATATATGTTTTTTCATATAATTTGTCTAAAATTTCGTTAACAATATGTGAATTGCAAACTTTTATTAAGTTTGCAGTAAGTCTACTGCTTTGCTCTGGAACCTGTAAACTTGAGCTGTAAGCATTATTTTACTGTAATCCAAAAGGACGAAAATTCGTGGAAAAAGCAATGGAAAAATTCTTTTGCAATTGTATTGATATGTGTAGCACGTAGGATTATCAAATAACTTAATAATAATGTGATTGCTTTAAACAATATTAAACGGAGTTCCTCCCATGTATATCTTCATGAAAGCGATTGTCATGTAAAACAACTTGGAAATAATTTTTGGTTCCAAGATAATAAAGTATTGTTTTGATTACATCTCCATTGATGCGAGGACGAACAGAGGATCTCCCGTATATGATTTCTTCAAGGTTAAACATAAGTTTCACGAAAAATGACTTTGACCTTGTAATTACTGCCAATATGATAATAAACAATGTTAACTATGCTGTTGTAACCAATAACTTGTCAAAAAGGTCTCTCTGTTTTGATAGTCACATAACGCTGTCATGTGCAATGTTAATGTGACACAGTAAGTGTTGCCAAAGGTTCAAACTATGTTGCTGATAATCCAGTTGATAACTCGTTCAATCCTTCCTGGAAAGTCAAAATTAAACTTAAGACTTGAATGGACATAGAATCGAGTCTGAAAACATCTTCAATCAAATGAGGGATGATTATGATGTGATGATAACACTAGTATCTCCTGAACCAATTAACATCACTGTTATACTTTGTTTGTTGGGAATGAGTATTCTGGTAAACTCACCACAAATGCTGGTGTGCATATTTTATCACTCTCAGTAAACACTCTTATTGGCTCAAGGAATGCAATCACTTGATAAAAGAATTTACCAACCACAACAACAGCTATTACACAGTTGCTGATAAACTCTTTACTAGTATTACTCTCGATATGGATTTTGCACTGGCATGTGAAATACTCTGATGCAGTCCTGTGTGGTGTATCTGTGGACATAAACAGTTATCTAAACGATAATCAACTTGATAAGTTTATTAAACAATCTTAATTACAAACAAACTCCCCAAATGATAATGCCTATTTTATATTTGGAATGGGATTCCATTTGATTACTTTGGTTATGAGGAAGATATAAACGGATACTTGTATAGCCTTCCTACTCATGCAGAGTTTCACTTGAGATAACAGATAAAACAGGGGGTGATTTATATTATGACAAGGTGTTTGTTGAATCATTTGGATAATTAATGGCTTAATTAACATATTATAATTAGATGTTATCTCCACTAGTTATGTAATGAGCGTCCAGATATTCTCAATAACGTTGGGTTTACCATTGGATTTATATACCATGAGAAATATCGTCTAATAAACAAGAGGATGGTTTATGTCTGGCATGTGCATGTGAACCAACATCTGAGATAATAGTCACGGGAGAGCGGATAACTACTGTCTCGGTTTGAGATCTAGCTACACCGTCGTAGGAGCGTGGCTCACCTCAGCGATAGCTAACGCGTAACAAACAGTCAGTGACCTTTAATTAGGCTTTTACGTGCTGGACGTATCGCATATGGATTACACACACTAATCCTGGATAATTAACTATTCTCGAGAAACGAAATACTATTCTTTACCGGAGGATTAATTCGGTCTATAGTCGGAGTTTTAATAAGAAAATAACGCGTTGCGAATGTAATAAGTAATTATTGTAATGCCACTCAATCAATCGCGAGACAAGTATTATGACCGATTTTCCGTTTTACAAATATAACGGGTATTTCGGGAAAGAATTATTATGTCAGAGTAAATAGATACTCGTTTATTGATAAGAAATAAAATATAAGGGAATCGAACGTCGTCGATATAAAAAAATTTAATATTGACGAACACTGCGAACACACCGATGCTAAGTCAAATTTACGCTGCGCTGCTTATATACTTTTCGGGATACTAATTAGTCTATCTTTAGCATCGTTTCCTAATCTACTATTGTTTTAGTTTCTCATCTATCGTTACTATTGTTCCGCTGTTATCCTCATTTAAATCTTTATAGCATGACTTATTTATTCTAATCTGGAATAATTCGTCTTTGATTTTTCTATCCCAGGCACCCCTTCGAAAATACCAACAAACGAATTTTATAACTTCGTAATTGATTACTATTACATGTATTTTTAAAGTTATATAATGCATCAGAATATGAAGAAATATCCGAATCCATAATGACCGAACCCCCGCTTCGAAACGTCCGTGCGGGTTATACACATCTTGCTGTCATCTTTGCTGTCCGTGTTGTTAATTGTGTAGATCCGATGTTGATCTTCGGAAATGTTGATGACATCAAGCGATCTGCAGAAATTCGGAGATAAATACGTCATCATCGGCTTCCGTCTTACCAGTATCATCTACATTTCAAATGACATCTTCACTAAAGATACAGACTTGGTATTTACTATTACGCAGTACAACTTACTGAATTAAACGTATCTTGGAACGCATTATTAAAACTTAATATAAACAAAAGTTAAAGAAGTCTTGAAAGTGAGTGATGATGGTATATATAACCAAGCCACATTCATGGACAAAACTGTATCTCCACATCGCAAAGGCAGATGGAAGATAGTACTACAGTTTCTACTCCACGAGATGATTACTAGACTTCGCTATATATACTTTTTTCTATCTACATGAAAAAGACGAGTAGGTACCATATGTGTCCATTCATATTAATATTGAATGAATTCTAAAATTTTGTTTGTACTTTTTGAACACAGTGACATATCCGCAGTAATTCATTCCTTAATAAAAGAACCAGTTTTCCCACCGTTCGAATGTCATCGCTCTACATAAAAACGCGAATTCCAAAAACCACCACGTTTTAATTAATCACATTGTCTACTTGTAATAATGACGAACGTTTGTCAAGATGGATCTTACAATGTCCTCTCCAGATAAATCACCTAAATC